ACATATTGGTGCTTCCAAGATTTGGCAATCCTGAATAACGTTATTATAAACATTTGTGTGCATGGTGTGTGTGTGTGTACATAAATTATCAACTCATTTGGGTAAATGTTAAGGAGCAGATTTGCTGTATCAAATGCCAAGGGTAGCTTTGTGTGTAAGGCACACGGACACCCCAACTGGTTTTCCAGATGATAGCGCCAAATTGGCTGGAGCGATAGCACAGCGGGTAGGGCATTCGCCTTACACGCGGCCAACATGGCCGATCCGAGTTCGATTCCTCCGCCCCTCTCGGAGAGCCCGGCAAGCTACCGAGAGTATTCGATATGCCAGACACAGTAACAACAAAGTCTCCAATGGAGACGTTACTGGGCCCGCTCGAGCAAATCGACGATCAACGGGAGGGCCTTTACCTTTACCTAGCGCCAAATTGTATCCCCACCTACACTGAATGAGAATTCCTGTTGCTCTACATCTTCACCCATATTTAATGGTAGTTTTGGACATTATTTATCAGTATTGATTTTAGGAAATATGATATTTCCCATCCTTGTTCTTTCTTTTTCAGATGCTTTTAGGATTTAAAAAAATTGAAAACCACTGTCCTCCCATTGTTCATCGATTTGCTCGAGCGGGCCCAGTAACGTCTCCATTGTGAGATTTGTTGTTACTGTGTTTGGCAAATCGAATACGTCACAGGGAGCTTGCCAGGCTTTGCCGTGCGGGTGAGATCCTCTTGGTAGCTTGCCGGGCTCTCCGAGAGGGGCGGAGGAATCTAACCCCGCTCAGCTGGGCTGGCTGCACGCAAAGCAAATGTCTTACTGCTGTGCTATCGCTCCAGCCCCCCCCCCAAAAATTTAAAAATAAAATCACAGCAAGACACACAGCTACAAGATTGTTCATGATTGGGTTTCAGTCATATCATGTTCTAACACCTGTCCCTTCACCAGTGTACATTTCCTACCACTAGTGCCCCCAGTTTCCCTCCCATTCCCTCCACCTCAATGGCAGGCACCTCCCTCCTCCTCCTCCTCCTCCTCCTCCTCCTCCTCCTCTCCTTCCTCCTCCTCTTCCTCTCCCTCCTCCTCCTCCTCCCCCCCCTCCTCCTTTTGGGCATTATGGTTTGCAACAGTTACTGAAAGGTTATCATATATATATATATATATATATATATCTTTACCTACTTTCAACTGCTGACTTTTTGTCCAGAAGGATTATTTCCAACTGTTATTGTCATACTGGTCCCTTCTCTATCCTAACTGCCCTCCCCGCCCCTCCCATGGCCAGTTTCCAAACACTGACCAGCCCTCCTGGGTAGCTCCTTTTCGGAGACCCCTCTCTAAGCACTGCGCTCTCAGCCGTCATTTCTTTAGGTGTTTAGAGAAGCCTCGCTGGTTAAGTTATTTCTCTCTTTTCTATATTGTCATCGAACAGCTGGAAGAAAATAACATATGTCATATCTCTTTGTATTTATGACTACAGAATTAATAACTTCAGTCGATTGGATGCAAAGAAAATGAGTGAGATGCTCTAAATTATAGATGAAAGTTGTTAGCGCTAATAGAGTGTGTAACATATGCCTCACTCTGGCACAGTTTTGAAATCATGTGAATGATTTCAAGGGCTCGAGTCTGTTTGGCTTTGTTCCCATTTGGACCATCGAGAGAACGCTGAGTCCCAGCCATTTGCCGTGCTGTCTCTGGACACTTGGCCCTCTCAGCTGGAATGAATTTAAAAATCACTTGATCACTTGACATCCCGGTACTGTCAGTTTACTCGAGCAGGTGCCAGTAACGTCTCCATTGGTCCCTGTCGCGTGCTAGTGTAGCCCAATGGCATCTGCTCGTTCTAGGAACACAAAGAGCCTCAAACCTATCATTCAGGGTCTTCACGAAGAAATCTGACCACCTCGTAGGTGGGCGGCCACGCGATCTTTTGACATCCCATGGAATCCAGTAGGTAACGGCTCTAGTCCAGTGGTCATTGACAAGGACACCGAGACCTCCGACACCTCTTTTGTCTCATGTTCCGAGAAACAGTTCTTCTCCAGTGTCAAAAATGGCGTATGTGCATTGAAAGTACAGACGGTCATTTTTGTCTTTCTTTGTTTTGGCAGCCTAGTTCAGCCTTGAGATTTTATCCTTCTAAATGCTGCCATATTGGTGGCTCTTTCAGGGTCAGGGGAATGACTTGTTTGAATCCAGGGTGTTATGTGCAAGGGGAGTCACAAAAAATGTTTTGATGGCAGAAAATTTAAATATTTCATGTTTAAACATAAGACATTTAAACATAACTAAGACACTCCAGTTGAAAAATGCTCCTGAGAAAAAGTGATGTCTTTCATGGGGTTAGGAGAAAGGAGTTTTAGAGAGTCCAAAAGTGAGAAGAAGTTGGGAGGTTCCAGGTAATTTTAAAACTTCCTGATCTGTACGTTAGAGAATAGCGCATATTCAAACTCTAGCACAGCTGTTAGGGACTAAAATGATGGTGATTCTAATACTTCCACTACCCAGCCACCACCACACTCCAGGACACTTTCCAGACATATCATAAGACACTTAATGCCCATCTTGCAGGATTGCTGCACCATATTTGATAGGGTTCAAATATGGTTTGAACCATGGGAACAGCTGCAAGGGTGATTAGAAGCCACCCTAAAAGCCTCTCTCCCTCTCGGAGAGCCTGGCAAGCTACCGAGAGTATCCCGCCCGCACGGCAGAGCCTGGCAAGCTACCCATGACGTATTCGATATGCCAAAACCAGTAAATACTATGGGTCTCATTCCCCTCCCCTGACCCTGAAAGAGCCACCAATACGGATTTAAAAATCATGATTAACTATATTATTAGAATGAAAAAAATATATAGTGATGTTATTTCATGTGTTGGCACTTCTCTTCGCTCTGACTTTGAACAAACAGGCTCTAAATATAAATTGGCACGTCCTAACTTTTTTGTTTGATTGTGAGCCTCCCCTGGTGATGCTCAGGGCTGATTCCTGACTCTATGCTCAGGGATCACTCCTGGTGGACTTGGAGGACCATATGGGGTCCCGGGGATTGAGCCTGGGTCGGCCACATGCAAGGCAAATGCCTTACCTGCTGTAATATCACTCAGGTCCCCTGACCTAACATATTTTGTTTGGTTGGTTTGGGGGCCACACCTGGCAGTGCTCAAGGCTTCTGCCTGATTCTGTGCTCAGGGGCCACTCCTGGGGGCTCGAGGGGACCATATGAGGAGCCAGAAACTGGACCCGGGTCAGCCATGTGCAAGGCAAGCACCTTACCTTCTGTACTATTTCTCTGACGCCTCATGTTCTAACTTAATTACATATACAACTTAAACATGTAGCCACATACACATACACACACTTGTATATAGATATATAATGTATATTATATAATATGTCACTTGTCACTGTCACTGTCCTCCCATTGTTCATCGATTTTTCTCGAGTGGGCACCAGTGACGTCTCCATTGTGAGACTTGTTGTTGTTACTGTTTCTGACGTATTGAATAGTCACAGGGAGCTTGCCAGGCTTTGCCTTGCAGGCGGAATACTCTTGGTAGCTGGCCGGGCTCTCCGAGGGGGACAGAAGAATTGAACCTGGGTCAACTGCCTGCAAGGCGACCGCCCTACCCACTATGCTAATATAAAAAATAATATATGTGTTAATAACCTTGAAATATGCTAGGCTATGGTGTAAGGAACAGGCCCTTTGGTCTCAGTGAAGCGTTTTTTGGTTGTGAATCCCTGCGCCCTGCAGCTTATATGAAGGGGGGCGTATTTGGGGACCTTGGGGCTGTGGGCAGAAGGAATAGCCGGGATCAGGACTGGTAGGAGCAGGACCCGGGAGCTCTGGCAAGGTCAGACCCGGCCACTCAGTCTGTCGGGGGTCACCCGGCCCCTCTGGTTTCTTTGCAGTCAGCGGGCGGGCTGCCTCCGTGTGCTTCCCTACGACCAGGCTCCCTGTCCAGCTCTGGCTCTTATCTGCTCTGTGTCCAGGGTCAGCGGAGGGACCCAGAGTCATCGCCTCTTGCCTGAGTCCTGGAAGGGAGGCTCTGAGTCCGAGGACCACTCTCCATCTGCTCATTACTCGTTCTGGAAGTCTCTGTGTCGAGTGTGTCAGCAACTGTCTTAGACTCTGGGGATCCATCCTGCCCGTGTGTGTGTGTGTGTGTGTGTGTGTGTGTGTGAGAGAGAGAGAGGGGGGGGGAGGGAGGGAAGTTGAGAGAGAGGAAGGGAGAGAGGGAGGGAGGGAGAGACGGAGAGAAAGGGAAGGATGGAGGGAGGGAGAGAGGGGTGAGGGAGAAGGGGGGAGAGGGAGGAAGGAGAGAGAGAGAGGGGGAAAGAAAGAGGGGGAGGGAGAGAGGGGAAGGAAGGGAGAGGGAGAGAGGAGGGAGGGAAGGAAAGAAGGAAAGAGGGAGGGAAGGAGGGAGGAGAGGGAGGGAAGGAAGGAGAAGGAGAGGGAGGGAAGGAGGGAGAGAGGGGGAGGGAGGGAGAGGGAGGGAGGGAGAGAGGGAAGAAGAAAAAGGGAGGGAGGGAAAGAGAAAGAAAGAGGGAGGGAGAGAGGACTGGTATGGAAGCTCCTTCCCTGTGTCCGGGTTGAAGCTGCACTTTCAGAGAAGGGGAAGTGAAGTGCTGGTTCCCCCTCTTCCCTCGTGTGACCTTGCACGTGTGGGATGGCCGTCAGCAAAGCGGGGACAGTGTTTGGCGGGGCAGACTGGAGGGTGAGAAGGACGGCTCCCCGTGAGGCCTTGGCAGCGTGCTCCCCACTCCGACACCCGCTCTCCCCCTCTCTGACAGAGACCCCTGCGGCGACCCCTCACCTGAGCAGCGGCTTCACCTGCCCCCCCCCCCCACCACGCGTGCCTTTGACTGTCGTCCACTGACTGCGTGTGCGGGACTCCGAGGCGGGTGGGCACTGTGCTTCTTCGTTCTTAACCACCTCTCTGTCTCTCTTTGTCTCTCTGTCTCTGTCTCTGTCTCTCTCCCTCTCCTAGTTTCCGTTCGGCCGACGCTTGCCTTGTGACATCTACTGGCATGGAGTTTCATTTCACGACAGCGACATCTACTCTGGCCAAGTGAACAAGTTTCCAGGTAGCCATGGGGCCGGCTGGCCTTTCCCGGGTCTCAGCTCCAGGGCCATCCTGGGGGCTGGCGGCCGGGGGCTGCTAGGCAGGGGGGCTGAGAGCAGGGGAGACTTAGGGGCTCAAGGAGTGGCAAGTGCAGAGATGGGGGGATTCCACCGGTAGAGGAGCATGATGTCCACATCCCGGGTCAGAGATCACTTGCTCTGGGCGGCGGGAGGGTGGGGGGGTGCTGTCGCATGGGGTCTGTTCTCTCAAAACGTGAAGGATGGAATGCTAACGCAGATCATCTGTAGGAAGGCAGGAGTACCCTGCCTTGGGGGGATCCGTGGTGGAGAAAGGCGAGTCACGTCCGTCCTTTCGACAGCCCTGTGCGGGGGTGCTGCTCTGGGACCCCAAGCACATCCTCTTGCTGTCTGCATCCCAAGAGCAGGCTGCTGGCAGCCTAGGGAGGGCGGAGTCCACGAGGGGACCCCCGCACCCCGGCTCCCAGCAAGCTCTGTTTTGTAGCCTCCCTTGCCCTTTCTGGGAATGATATACTTTTTTTTCTTTTTGGGTCACATCCGGCGATGCTCAGGGGGGCTACTCCTGGCTCTGCACTCAGGAATTACTCCTGGCGGTGCTGGGAAACCCTATGGGATGCTGGGAATTGAACCCGGGTTGGCTGCGTGCAAGGCAAACGCCCTTCCTGCTATGCCATCGCTCCAGCCCCTGATTGACATTTTTATTTTTATTTTATTTTATTTTTTTGATGGCTAGTGGGGAAGGTAGATCGGGCCCGTGGGAGGCACGCGTGCAGCAGGGGAAGGTCCATGTGGGTTATCTGCATCTGATCTCCTCTCAGCGGTCTCCCGCTGAGATTCAGAAAATGGCACATAATATGCTCTTCTGTACAGACCAGCACCTTAGGCTTAAGCCTGATGAGAAAAGAAAGGGCTTTTAATTAATTAATTTATTTATTTAAAGAACACCGTTCTGGGGGCTGGAGTGATAGCACAGCGGGTAGGGCATTTGCCTTGCAGGCGGCCGACTGGGATTCCATCCCTGGCATCCCATATGGTCCCCTGAGCACTGCCAGGAGCAACCCCTGAGCATCACCGGGTGTGACCCAAAAAGAAAAAAAAAGAAAGAAAAGAATATCATCCTGAATCCTATCCCTCATTTAACAAAACTTAAGTGTGAATATTTCTCCTCAATCTCTGTATGGTTTTTCCATCGCTGCCTTTAGGAGGGTGAGGGGTAGTGGCTTGTCCACTTGCTTCCTCTTAGCTTGGCTGGGCTGGAGAGATCAGAGAGTGGGCAGGGCACTTGCCTTCCACGTGGTTAACCCAGGTTTGATCCCCCGCCAGCACCTGGTACGGTCCCCTGAATCCCACCAGGAGTGATCCCTGAGTGCAGACAGGTGTGACCCCAGACCAAAATGAACAAGAAAGACAGTAACTGCTGGGATCTGGACGCTGGCTAGCTACACCACAGCCTCTCAGGGTTTCGGCTGGACCAGTAGCTGCCCGGGACACACCGGCTCAGGTTCACCCAGAAGCTGGTTGCCAGCTGGTCAGCCCCGGGCATTTTCGTCCAGCTGCATCTCTGCACAAGACCTGGGACCCGGCCTCTGCCCCTCCCCCTCCCAGCCCAAGTCCAGAGGCAGAGGCCAGGGGAACAGCTCCCTGTTGGCAGAGTGGGTGTGGTCGGCTTGGGCACCACGGGAGCCGGGATCTCTCCTAAGGATGCCACAGACTAGTGCCTGGGGGTCCTTGCCAGCATCAAGCCAGATGATAAGGATCATTGCCGCTTAGTGAAGAGAGAGCTGTGGCTGCCCTCCACTCACTTATGTACCTTAACAACTGAGGAGCACTTTGACCATGTGCTGTGTTGGCGAGTAACACAACCAGCCTCCTAGAAGAGCAGAAGCTAGAGAACTCACTAGGGTTAGATGTCCGATTTTTCCTGGAGAAGGAGGGGTTTGGTTAGGGAAAGAATCCTTCCTTCCTTCCTTCCTTCCTTCCTTCCTTCCTTCCTTCCTTCCCTCCGTCCCTCCCTCCCTTCCCCCTCCCTCCCTCTGTCCCTCCCTCCGTCCCTCCCTCCCTCCTTCCTTCCTTTTTTCTTCTTCCCTTCCTACCTTCTTCCTTTCCTCCCTTTCTCCCTCCCTCCATCCCTCCCTCCCTTTTGCCCTTCCTTCCTTCCTTCCTCCCTCCCTCCCTCCCTCCCTTCCTTTCTTCCTTCCACACCTGACAGTGCTCAGGGCTTGCTCCAGGCTCTGCGTTCAGGGTCGCTCCGCTGGGCTTAGGGGAGAGTATGGGGATCCGGGGATCAGACCCAGAACAGCCATGTGTCGAGCGAGTGCTGTACCATCGGCCGGGCTGCTTTGACTGGGCCGTCAGGAATTTCATGGACTCGTCACCAGTCACCGTTTACCCTGAGTCGCTGATTAGCAGAGGAGCAATCCGATGCCATGGAAGAGAACTTGCCGTTGGGCTGGGCGGACCCCCTCCGAAAACAGCGACTCTGTGGCGTGAGTTGCTCAGGCCTCGCACAGAGGCCGAGAGTTGGGAGGGAGCAGAAGCCAGGGCTGTGCTTTTAGGACACAGACTGAAGTATGGGGGGCCACGGGGGAGTTCCGTTGGTAGCGGAAGAACCTTGGTTCCAGAGGAGCAAGTTTGCCCGCCCCGTGTTTCCCTTTGCTGCCAGGAGGAGCAAGCAGTGCAGTCCCACTCAGCCACCGGCACCCCCAGGACGGGCCATCGGCCCCCCCCCACACACACACCTGCCCCATCAGGGGCTGGTCCCGTTATTCCCCACCGGAACTCGCCATCCGATGGGTGGGATCCAGAGAAGGTACCATGAGGGTCAACACTGCAGGATGCCTCATCCTTGGAACCCCGTAGGCGGTGCTCCGAGCCCTGCCAGGAATGATCCTGGAGCACTTTGGGGTGGAGCCCTGAAATAAACCCCCCAAATGGGGGAAGCTGGACCCGCTGGACGCAGCTCAGAGGGCCAGGGGCTCGGCTTTGTGTGGGGGAGTCCAGGGGTCCCACATGAACCCCCAGAGCTCTTTGGGAGGGACCCCCAAGCAGTGGACCAGGAGGAGTAGCCCCTCCAACAGAGCAAAAGAACGAGAAGGGCAGAAGTAGGCCTGCCGGGGGCCTCCTGAGGATCCAGCACTGATGCTCCTGGGACCTCCAGCTGGGGCCACCAACCGGTCGCCTCCATCAGCAGAAACCCACACTGGGGTCCTGATGTGGAACTGGGGTCGTCACAGGTCAGTGGAGAGCTGCGTCTCTCAGGGAAGGGAGGCCGAGGCAGGCACCAGGGACTTGGGGAAACAGGCTGGGGCAGCCTGGAGCCCGCCCGCTGCTCTCGGTCCACCTCTTACTGTGAGGCCCAACCCCGTGTCTGTGTGGGGGTGCCTTGACTTCTCCCGGGAGCCATGGGATCGATATGCTAACAGCTGGCCACGGAGCAGAGACGAGGCGGGCCGTGACTTGAGGAAGGGCCAGGCTAGGGGCTTTGGCCAGCTCTCCACTGACCTGTGACAACCCCAGTTCCACACCAGGACCCCAGTGTGGGTTTCTGCTGATGGAGGCGACCGGTTGGTGGCCCCAGCTGGAGGTCCCAGGAGCATCAGTGCTGGATCCTCAGGAGGCCCCCGGCAGGCCTACTTCTGCCCTTCTCGTTCTTTTGCTCTGTCGGAGGGGCTACTCCTCCTGGTCCACTGCTTGGGGGTTCCCCTTTGGCTAGGGGAAGGCCCAGGCAGAAACGGGGTGGGGGGACCCCTTTATAGCTCGAGGCCAGAGCCTGGGTGCGGCAGGCCTTGACTCCCCGGGTGCTTTTCTAGCTGGCTGTTGGAATTAGCTTCTGACCAAGGGGCAGGCTTGGGTCCAGGAGCTGCCTGACCAGCTGGCCAGAGAGCCGGCCTGCCGCTGGACTCTCCTTGGGCCTTCGAGTCCAGCCCCAGTGGGCCTGCCTCATGGCGGATGCTGCTTGGCAGAGGCTGGGCAGTGACAGGAGCCAGCAGGATGCCCCCAGACTCTGATGTCTTCCCAGCAGCCTAGCTGAGTGTCTTGGCGTGTTTTCTTTAGCATAGGTGAGAGCACCGGGCGCTGAGCAGCACTCAAATTCTCCTGACCCCTTCTTCCTTAATCCAGCTCCACACCCTGCACTCAGGACAGCTCCTGGCGACAGCAGTTGGGTTTAGCACTCTCCCGACCATGCCCAGGGAAGCCCTTGTCCCCCTGAAGGCCAGGCCCTGGGCTTCTTGGATATGGTATTTGGGGAAGCTGCATTCACTCAGCCCAGCTGGAGCGGGTGAGGATTCAACTGTGCCAAGTGGTCGTGAACAATGAACTGTCTATACCATCTGCTTGGCTTGTGTCAGCGATGGAATTGGGACTGGCTGGCCTTTTCCAGCTGTGGTCAGTTGTAGTCCATCCTTCCTTCCTTCCTTCCTTCCTTCCTTCCTTCCTTCCTTCCTTCCTTCCTCTTCCCTCCCTCCCTCCTCCCTCCCTCCTCCCTCCCTCCTCTCTCCCTCCCTCCCTCCCCCCTCCCCCTCTCTCCCTCCCCCCTCCCTCCCTCCCTCCCTCCCTCCCTCCCTCCCCCTCCCTCCCTCCCTTCCTTCCTTCCTTCCTTCCTTCCTTCCTTCCTTCCTTCCTTCCTTCTCCCTTCTTCCCTCCTTCCCTTCTTCCCTCCTTCCCTTCTTCCCTCCTTCCCTCCCTCCCTCCCTCCCTCCCTTCCTTCCTTCCTTCCTTCCTTCCTTCCTTCCTTCCTTCTCCCTTCTTCCCTCCTTCCCTTCTTCCCTCCTTCCCTTCTTCCCTCCTTCCCTCCCTCCCTCCCTCCCTCCCTCCTTCCTTCCTTCCTCCTCCCTCCCTCCCTCCCTCCCTCCCTCTGTCCCTCCCTCCCTCCCTTCCTTCCTTCCTTCCTTCCTTCTTTCCTTCCTTCCTCTTCCCTCCCTCCCTCCGTTCCTTCCTTCCTTCCTCTTCCCTCCCTCCCTCCCTTCCCTCCCTTCCCTCCTTCCTTCCTTCCTTCCTTCCTCCTCCCTTCCTCCCTCCTTCCTTCCCTCCTTCCTTCCCTCCTTCCCTCCCTCCCCTTCCTTCCTTACCCTCCCTCCCTCCCTCCCTCCCTCCCTTCCTTCCTTCCTTCCTTCCTTCCTTCCTTTCTTTCTTCCTTCCTTCCCCCTCCTTCTTTCCTCCTTCCTTTCTTTCTTTCCTACCTCCCTTCCCCCTTTTTTCTTCCTTTCTTCCTTTCATTCTTTCCCTCTCTTTATTTCCTCCTTTTTCTTTCATATTTGCCTTAAGAAATAAGCCAGCTAACATTTAAGATACTGTTTTCCTGGTTTCTTAACAGTTGTTAAGACATAGACTCTGTTTTCTTCCCTCCAGGGATGTTACAAGTAAAAAAAAAATAAATAAAATCCCCTGATCTTTGAGAATGTCTGTAAGTGAGGCATGTCTGCCCCTCTGGGCCACTCAGTGAGGTCTGACCAGGTCAGCGCGAGGACAGGCTCCATGGACCTCTCTCCCCCGAAATTGAATTATGCTCTTAAACTCTTGTCATTCTTAATTCAAGGGAACTGCTCCTGCTGAAAGGTATCATCTGTCTTCCTATTCTGTACCTGTAACACTCACGAAGGTGAAAACAAAACAACTTCATCAAATTTCTCCGTAAGAACCCTGAGAGTCCGTTATTTAGTATTCTCCAGGGTAGAAAATGGAACTGGACTCAAAGTATGCTGGTGGTCCTGAATGAAGGAGAAAATTGGGTTTTATTTAAAAAAAAGATAAAAACAACAAAAAAAAACATGTTTCTTCTCGCTTTTTGGGTCACACCTGGCAATGCTCAGGGCTCTGTGCTCAGAAATCACTCCTGATGGTGCTCAGAGAGCTGTATGGGATGCCGGGGATCGAACCCGGGTCAGTTCTGTGCAAGCGCCCTACTCTTTGTCCTACCTCCGCAGCTGTGCCCTGGGATTTGAGTGTGGGGTAAACAGGCTAGTCTGTATTCACTCTCTGGGCGCTGACCGCGTGTGAAGAGTACGGGGATGATCCCTTGGACCGGGCCTTGCTGTTATCAGGAGAGAAGGGTGTTCCGCAGCTTCCCCTGGGTTCTCAAGAGCGGCGGGGCTCTCCGGCTGGGGATGGCGGCCCGGGGCTGCGTTGGCTCCAGCCTCACGCGTCTCTCCCTGCAGGCATGACGGAGATGGTGCGTAAGATCACACTGAGCAGAGCCGTGCGGATCATGCAGAGCCTCTTTCCTGAGGAGTACAACTTCTATCCTCGCTCCTGGATTCTGCCCGACGAGTTCCAGCTCTTTCTTGCTCAGGTAGATGGCATTCCGGCCCCTAGGCCTTCGGGTTACCTCCTGTCTGCTTCCAAGTCCTGCGTGCTCGGTGCTGGGAGCTGAGTCCTGGATGCTGAGTGCTGGAAACTTAGTTCTGGGAGCTGAGACTTGGGTGTTCAGTGTCGGGAGCTGAGTCCTGGGTGCTGAGTACTAGGAGTTGAGTCCTAGGTTCTGAGTGCTAGGAGCTGAGTCTTAAGTGCTGAGTGCTAGAAACTGATTCCTGGGTGCTGTGTGCTGGGAACTGAGTCCTGGGTGTTGTGTGCTGAGAGCTGTGTCCTGGCTCCTGTGTGCTGGAAATTGAGTCCTGGCTACTGAGTGCTGGAAACTGAGTTCTGACTGCTGGAAACTGACTCCTGAGTGCTGAGTGTTGAGTTTCTGGCAGTGAGTGCTGGAAGCTGAGTCCTGGGTGCTGTGTGCTGGAAACTGAGTCCTGGGTGCTGAGTACTGAGTCTCTGGCACTGAGTGCTGGGAGCTGAGCCCTGAGAGTTGTGTCCTGGGACTCACAACCTAGACCTTGGGTACCAAGAGCTGAGTCCTGGGTGCTGGGCTGTGGAAACTGTGTTCTGGGTGCTGGGCTGTGGGAGCTGAGTTCTGTGTGTTGGTAGCTGTATGCATGGTGGTGGGTACGGGGAGTCTGGGACCTGGATGAAGGAGCTAAGCCCCAGGTCCTGGGCGCTGGGACCTTGTCGTGTGTCCTGGGAGTTGGATGGGGGTCCCTGGGACTCTTGTTTCACTGAGGGCCATCCCAACAGCAGCTGGCATGTGTTGGCAGAACCACGGTGGGTCACAGGCAGGTCACAGAAGAGTAGGTCTGGGTGTGAGGGGCTGGCCTGGGGTCTCGGAGCCGGGGATGGGGGGCAGAGGTATGCTGGTCCTGTCAGATGTGGGAGGGAGGCCAGGCTGGGGGCGGGGGGCGGTCCCAGGCTGTCCTTGGAAGCAGAAACCTGCTGTCGACTGGTTCCAGAATCAGGCTTATTTTCCTCCTTTTTTTTTCATTCAATCACTGTGAGATACTCAGTTACAAAGTTGTTCATGGTTGGGTTTCAATCATACAATGTTCCAACGCCAGTCCCTCCACCAGCACATTTCCCTGTATCTTTCTCTGTATCTTTCTCTCCCCTCCCTCCCTCTCTCTGTCTCCTCTCTCTCTCCCTCCCTTCCTCTTCCCTTTCTCCTTCTCCTTCTCCTTCTCCTTCTCCTTCTCTGTCTCTCTCTCTCTCTCTCTCTCTCTCTCTCTCTCTCACTCAATCTCTCTCTCCTTTTGGTCATTATGATCTGTAGTACAGGCACCAGAATCCGTTTTCAAAGGACACGTTTCAGATCCCGGGGGAGGGCCGTGTCCGGGCTTGTCCAGTCTGGCTGTGCTGGCCCTCACCACCCTCGTTCCAGTCTGTCCAGAGTTTCCCAGGGATTGTTTGAGAGCCTCTGCCCACCCTGGGCCAGCCAAGCACTCCTCGGGAGCCCATTCAGCAAAGGCTAGTGCCACTGGCCATCCCAGGATGCGCAGGGTCTGCCCCTGCCCGTGCCGGAAGGAGGCCCCGCGCGCTCCTCTCCCCTCGACAGTCAGGTGAAGGCGGCCGTGTGACAGTGCAGGAGGGAACTGAAGCTTTGAGAGATCCCACAACTGACTTGAGAAATAGAACGCAAATCTGGAGTTAGCTTTGGGGTCTAAGCCCCGTGGCGCTGGGGTCTCTTCGCTCCCCGTGCGCTGGGGTTTAACATTAAATGATAAAACTGGTAATGAAATTAGGAGCCATTAAACACAGGTCACTTGTAGTGGATGCTTCTTTTTATTTTATTATTTATTTATTTATTTATTTGGCTTTTTGAGTCACACCCGGTGGTGCTCAGGGGTTACTCCTGGCTCTGCACTCAGGAATTACCCCTGGAGGTGCTCAGGGGACCATATGGGATGCTGGGAATCGAACCCGGCTTGACCGCGTGCAAGGCAAATGCCCTCCCCTCTGTGCTCTCACTCCAGCCTCGAGCTTGTGTATCTCTGAGGGAGAGCTGTGAGCACGTGCAGTTGAGGAAGAGCCCATAGACAGGCCACATCTCTACTGAAAACGACAGGAAAAACCCCTGGAGTGTGTTTTTCAGTAGGATAGAGAAGTAAAAGGTGACTGGACATCACCGAGGTGGACTTCCTCCCTCCCTCCCTCCCTCCCTTCCTTCCTTCCTTCCTTCCTATCCTGTCTTCCTTCCCTCCCTCCGTACCTCCCTCCCTCCCTCCCTCCCTCCCTCCCTTCCTTCCTTCCTTTTCTCTGTCTTCCCAGTCAGAGTAAAGAGAATGTAATCCGCTGGCTTCTCCAGGAAAAAGTTACCACACCCACAGCCCATTTTAGCATTTCCTCATCCCAGAGAGTCTTAAGTTTCTGTGGGGAGAAGAGAGGGGGCAGAGTCCACAAACCTTTCCCATGACTTTGCTGACACATAGTTTTCCTTTCTCTTGAGGAATGGGGGCAGGGTGGACTCTCTGTACCATAAGACGTGATTATGCATACACTCATCATGCACTCCAAGGATACACACACAGTATGTTGTGGGTCGGGCTTTGTGAGAGATTGACAGTTGTTTTTCCAGAGTGCATGTTAGCTCGGCGTGTGGTGTGTAATGTCATGGTTCACGTTACTTCCACCACTTGGGACTGTTGACATTCCGGTAGGTGTGTAGTTGTAAGCTCTTCATGATTTATTTACTTTTCCACTTTATTTAAACACCGTCATATACAAAGTTGCTGTTCACGATGCATTTGTTGCAGGCATTGAATAATCTCACCCCAATCCTATGACCTTTCCCCCCCACCAATGAACCCATTTTCCCAACCACCTCTCCAAGCCTGCCCCCTTAGCAGGCTCACAATAATTTATTTTATATCGCTTGTTACAACTAAATGGCTGATGGAATCATCAAAAAAAAAAAACCCTTCAGTAAAAGAAAATTTGTGAAAATGGTTCTCTCTCACCATGGAGACTTTAAATCCTTGTTTGAGGGTTTCCTAAGCTGTTGTTGCTAGTTGAGCCTTCCGTGTTGTCTTTGTTTATTGAGCTTAGTTGGCGTCTACCTTACTTCCCCATCTAATTTGGTGTGCTCCTACCGGGATGTCAGTATTGTAGTTTGGAGGTGTCGCATGGACGTGAATGTGACTGTGTGCCCCAGAAACTCCAAAACTTTTTTCTTTATTTTTTTTTTTTACTTTGTAAAGTCGTTCACAATATTTGATGATGTTTAATATTCAAACACCAATCCCACCACCATCACACCTTCCCACCACCATATTTTGGATGTTTCCATCCCAAACCCCAATCCCTGCCACGAAGCAGAACCGAAATAATATATTTTTGTATTGTTTGTTATGAAAATCTGCTGAGAATGCTAGAATAAAAGTATCCTTAGAGGAAAGAGTGTGAAGATTGTTGTATTTCACCCAGGGCCCATTAAACCTTTCTGTAAGAGATCACTAACATGTTGTTAAAGGTTGAGCCTTGTGTGTTTTATATATCTGTAAAAAAAAATGTGTATTTCCATTCTAAGATTGATTGCCTCCTACTTTGAGCCCTGTCAACTGCGGTGCAGTAATCCTGGAATACGGGTAGAGTATGTGATTTGAAGTATCGCAGCCGTGCAGTCCAAAAAAAGATGCGACGTTCTCACGTTGTGAGTGACGTTCGGCATGAGCGTGTGGAGAGCGGCCGTGAGCATGGTGGCGGCTGAGTTGTAGAAGTTTTCAGCTGTTGGGGTTGGGTCCCTTGGGCGGGACGGGGGTCTCATCTGCCCCCCTCTGGGGTGTCCCGTGTGGAACAGCCTGGTGTGGGTCTGGTGGCATGGTTATAGTGAGAGTCATGTTTCTCCCTTCTGGTGCCAGCCAGAGGTGGGTTATGGGATGACCGCTGAGTCTTCGGAGCTAGGGGGGTATGGGCAGGGCATCTCTGTACCCAGTCCCCTTGAGCCTGGTGTTCTCAGTCACAGAGTCCCTCAAACCTGAAACTCCAGAACTTTTCACTGGGCAGTGGGCGAACAGGTGTTTGTGGGATGTGGGTGTGGCTGCCAGGGCCTCCAGGAGTCAGGATCAGAGGGTGGGGGGGAGACTGCCCACCCCCACTCCGAGAAAGCCCCAGGGTCTTCAGCCAAAAGACCCGTGTGCCTGGAATTGGGGGCAGTTTGGCGTCTGCGAAGCTTGGTCATGAGACGGTTGAGTCCTGCTGTTGGCAAGGCAGCAGCCGTGGGGGTGTGGGTGAGGCTATGGGGGCGTCAGCAGGAGGGCATTCGACCTGCCCCTCTCCCATGGGCGCTCCAGACGTTTCAGTCGGAGATCACTGTATCCTGAGCTTTTGCAGCTCCTTGATCTCTTCTGACAGGTGAGCTTACGGGATGCCAATGGGTGTGGCTCCTCTTCCTGATTTTAATGAACCGTGACTGGATGTTGAGAATGTGCGTGCTGAGAATCTTCTGTTTGTTCGCCACTCTGATGGAGTGTTGGGGCTACTCCGGGCTTTGCTTAGGGGGGCCGTGTGGTGCCAGGGAGCAAGCCCAGGGTTCCAGTGTGCAGAGTGTGCTCTAATCTTGGAGCTGTCTCCATGGCCCTAGACGTTGAGAATGCTTGTGGGCTGTTTGATATCTTCTTTTGTGGAGTAAATATAGATAGTCACGATCTTTGTTCATTGTAACAGACATTTTATTTTTAAGTTGTAGGTTTTGGACATACCTCGTGTACAAGTGTTTGGTATATGTATTGTGATTTATTTGTACATGCACTGTGAATACTTGGTTGCTTCTCACTTCTTGGTTTTAATATTGAATTTTTGTTTCTAACTCTTGAAGAGCAAACATTTTTAATTTTGGTGAAGTTGAATCTGTCAGTTTGAATTTTTCTATGATAGTCTGTGTTTTTTTGTGTGGTACCCTTTTCTTGGTCTGTTTTGTTTTGGGGCCACACCTGATGATGCTCAGGGGTTACTTTCGGCTTTGCACTCAGGAGTTGC